ATCAGAAACGTAACTCTTCATTATAGGGCTAAACAATACACTCATGTGACGATTTGATACACAATACATACTCTCATGATACTTTAAACTAGGGCAAACTAGTAAAACGCGTATTTATTATTATTATTATTAATTAAGACATGATGAACAGTTAATAAAAAGTGTTGTTTATTAAAATTTCTCCATGCACAGAGCAATTGTGACACCAGAGTAGAAGTATTCATGGTTCTGCTTAGATAAAAATACAGAATTATGTTAAAACACTGCACTCTGACCCCCACATTTAAACATTTTAATCTATTTTAGTTTGAATGTATTAATAATTATATATACAGTGCACTATAATAATAAACACAGAAACTGAAATGTGTGACCTTCTGCGTCATTTTGGGTCAACTATACACCGTACGTATTATCACTATCTACAATACATATTTTTGGATTGTGATGTATTGTGACATATTATAACACCTCATTAGTTATATAGTTATAAGTTATGAATTTTTCTACTTTAATCTCCAAGGCCATCCTCTAATAACTGCCCTACAATGAAACATATTCTCAAGGAAGGCCTGATTGAAATACAAAATTAGAACTATTTATTCGTTTTTTTAGTAGTATTATTAAAATATATTACATTTTTTGTTTATTTTTAAAGTTCACATTAAATCGAAATTGAGCTTATTTACTTTGTTACAACACATTACTAGTCTTGAAGTGAACAAATAATCCGTGCTACTTGATCAACATCTGTGCTTCTTAAAAACTTGGTGTGCTAAAATCAAACCTGTTGTTCCAAACCTGTGTGAGTTTCTCTGCTGAGCAAAAAAGAAGATATTTTGAAAAATGTTGGAAATCAAACATTTGACGGTAGCCACTGAATAAAGCAATAAAGAAATAAACTCATACAGGTTTGAAAACTCGCAGGTTAGTGAATGATGACAGAATTTAAATTTTTGATTGAACTAGTCCTTTAAAAATTGCTACTAGGTCAAAAAGAACCTTATTAGTGACACATATACTAAACACATTGAGACTAGACCCTTTTCATATAAAAGTCTGTTTTTTTTTAACTAGCTTGGTGGGGTTTTTTTTTTACACTTTTGTTATTCTCTGGTTGTTAGTTTGGTCCAGTGGACTGTTGCTAATTGTGCATTCAGCACAAAGACCTGAAAGAAAACCAGTTAAAATGCACAAAAAATAATCTTGCTGATCTTACTAATGTTCGTATCTCAAATGACAACTAGAGTTTTATTCACGTTTCAGGTCACTGCATGTGCTTGCGTTCTACATTTTTTTGCATTTAGCATTCTGTTGGTTCTTTGCTCTGACAATTGTCATGTTTTCTGTCACGCATTAGCGAGGAGGCAGGCTGGCGCAGGTCGCAGGGTGCTCCTGGATCATGAGAGACAGTGGCAGCAGCCTGGCTCAAACACACTGGTCCAATGAGCTGACGCTGACCGCAGGGCAGGAGGGCGCTGGGGGTGGGGGTGCCATTGGAGGTGGCCATTTAATGAATCCAGCCATGGCCCAACATGCCCCGAGCCCATCCCACTTCAAACTGGGGCGCAGAGAGGAGGACATCAGAATGTGGGGTGCAGACTATACTGTCCCTGAGGTGAAGGACGAGGAGGAAAATGTGGATATGGAGAGTGAAGAGGATCTGGTGGACGGGAAAGTCGAGGGTGGTTTGCAGTGTAATGATAAAGGTGACTATGAGGAGTGGGGCTCGCCAGAGCACTCAAAGCTAGTGGAAATGGATGTCAGTGTTACAGATGACTTTACCCTCTGCTTGGCCCAGACTAGCCCCAGTCTGCTCCAAGAGAGGAAGCTAGCCCGGTTGCGGTATCGGGGCCAGAGGTGTTTGAGCATTCGCTACCGTTTGGCCCAGCAGTGGAGAACTTGGCGTCAGCGAGCCAAATGGGCAGGAACTATGGGATACAGGAGGGTACGCAGATGTCACAGACGCCGCCACTCTGGCAGTCGACCTTTCCAGAGACCGCCTGGCAGTTCATTGTTAAATGGAGACCCAGAAGGACGTTTGGGGACAACAGAAGAAAGAGAAGCTGATTTATCTGGTGAGTATGAACTCTCTTATTGACATTTGTGGTATAATTTTGGAAAACAAGTTAGTCTTTGCAACTTTTTTAAAAGAGTTGATCAGATTAAAGGGTTAGTTCACCCAAAAATGTCATTAAAACTCTGTCATTAATTACTCACCCTCATGTCGTTCCAAAACTGTAACATCTTCGTTCACCTTCGAAACACAAATTAAGATATTTTTAATGAAATCCCAAGAGCTTTCTGACCCTGCATAGAAAGCAACACAACTGACGCGTTAAAATAGTCCGGACTTCGCTAAAATAGTGCATGTGACATCAGTGGTTCAACCGTAATTTTACAAAGCTACAAGAATACTTGTTACTCTTGATAATGGCAGTGGAAGGTGACACGAAATCAAAGAATTGTTTAAAGGGGTTCTATTAAGCTTTTTCACTTTTTCAACTTTAGTTAGTCTGTAATGTTGCTATTTGAGCATAAAAAAGATCTGCAAAGTTACAAAGCTCAAAGTCCACTTCAAAAGGAGGTTTTTTATTGAATAGAAATCACTTTTTAAAAACTACAACGAATGACTCGTTTGGACTACAATTAGGGCTGCACGATAAATCGCATGCGATATTTAACGCGCATCTTGTCAGAAAGCCGGTTCTGTAATCAGTGGTAAATCTCCATCACGTGCAGGCTTTCACATTGAGCAGCATTAACTACACAGAGCCGTTGTTCACTGACGAGCTGCGCAAAACCGTTCATGCCAGACTGGGGAGAGAGGTGTTGTAATAATGTAAAATATGTGAAAAATAATGTGTTTTTTGAACAACCTAGTATGAGAGCCTGTTCTAGTACACCCCCAAAACAAAATCAAGACTTTGTAAAAGAGCATAATAGGACCCCTTTAATAAAGTCGTTTATTTTTGTTTTCTTAGCGCACAAAAAGTATTTTAGTAGCTTCGTAATATTATGGTTAAACCACTGATGTCACATGGAACATTTTAACGATGTCCTTACTATGTTTCTGGGTCTGGGAACATTTCCGTTCCGTTCAGAAAGCTCTCGGATTTCATCAAAAATATCTTAATTTGTGTTCCGAAGATGAACAAAGGTCTTACGGGTTTGGAACGACATGAGGGTGAGAAATTAATGACAGAATTTTCATTTTTGGTTCAACTGTCCCTGTAATTGTTTAGCATGTGATACCTGACTATTTTAAATTGAGTTGTTCAGTTTGAAGTGTAAATTGTGAACATTTGTATATGCATTAAAATATAATTTAAAGGGGTCATATGATGCGATTTCAATTTTTCCTTCCTCGTCGCTCCGGCTGGACACGGCATCAGCAGTACGTGAGGGGCGTAACATTTCCGTCTCACGCTTGAGATATTCGGCCAATCACAACGCACTGGATAGCTGGCCAATCACAGCACACCTCGCTTTTTCAGACCGATGAGCTTTGTAAAAATCGACGCGTTTCAAAAAGGCGGGGCATAGAGGAGAAACAATAATGTACAGTATGTGGAAAATAATGTGTTTTTTGAACTTTAAACCGCATAAACACATTTCATTACACCAAATACACAAAATAATGTTCTTTTTAGCAGCATCATATGACCCCTTTAAAATAGTGCTATTTGTGCTAGTAATGTTAATTTAATGAAAATAATTTACATTTTTTAAATATAAATAAACAATTAATAGATTTCTTTTAATATTTATTATTTTATTGTTTAGGAAAGGTAAGCTACGGTAAATGACTGGCAAAGCATTCCAACTTGTGACATCTGTTCATTTATCCTCCTCCTTGGCTATTAATGACCCCTATTGATTTCCTAGGCTCCTGTAGCACACATGGGATTCCGAAAGGAAGGGATGGTATCCATGGTGCAGTCATGGGGGACAGGGAGGGACGGGCCTCCCCTGCTACTGTCCAGTCTCAACGGGAAAAGTCCTCCCCACAGAATCAGCTTAGCAGCGAACACATCTCTTGTGTACAAGGTACAACATATCATTTTTCCTTAATATGGAACAGGAACATAGGATATGTAGTATGGTTATTCTTCTCTCACTCCTCCTCTTTCTCAGGTATTCTGGATGAGTTTCTCCAGCAGTATGGGAGTTTGATTCCCATCCATGTGGATGAGGTGGTGAAGAAGCTTCGGGAGATCTTTAACGAGAGCTTTTCAAGTCCTCACAGGTCAGAGGTGGCTCACACCAGTCACAAGGCTTACTGAATCTTGATATTTAAAATGCCACATTGGTGAAAGAAGTCTCATTTTGTATACCATTTTAACTTGTGCCTGTTTACAGGAAGTTAATGGTGCAACATTTAATGCAGTCCTACCAGCGCATGTCCGGAAGTGCAGCGATGCGGGGGTTTCGTGTAAACTACAAACGTCACGTCCTCACCATGGATGATCTGAGCACACTTTATGGTCAGAACTGGCTCAATGATCAGGTGGGTCTCTTGGTTAAAAATAATTTGTAATTATTAATGAACATTATTATTAATATTGGGCCACATTCTTGGATCGTTTTTCTATAGCTTGGATAAAATTCAGAACCAACTCAAATTGTGACCCTACAATAAGTCTTTCTCATTTTATCACATCACAGTGCATTCCTGTATTGGAGGCATACACTATCGTTCAAACGTTTTTAAAAGTCTCTCATATTCGCCAAGGCTGCTTTTATTTGATCAAACCTACAATACAATCAGTAATATTGTGAAATAATATTACAATTTAACACAACTGTTTTCTGTTTGAATACATTGTCAAATGTAATTTATTCCTGTGATGGCAAAGCTGCATTTTCAGCATCATTACTCCAGGCTTCAGTGTCCCATGATCCTTCAGAAATCATTCTAATATGCTGATTTGGTGCTCAAGAAACATTTCTTCTTATCATCAATGTTGAAAATAGTTTTGTGTAAACGGTTATCCATTTTTTCAAGATTCATTGATCAACTGAAAGTTCAAAAGAACATTTAAAATAGAAATCTTTTGTAACCATATATATCCTATAAATATGGCACACTTGACTTTAAGAATGCGTCACGTTGTGCAAACTTCATTATATATGGGGATTGTGCTTTTTTTTAAATTTAGCATATTTCAGATTCATCAACATATTAAATGAAGGGTAATAAATAATTATGTCCATACCCACCTGTTTTGAATCCACTAGAAATTGTGTGTGGAACCTTTTTGGCACATTTAACAACACTTGTTGTTATTAGTGAATGAGCCCCAATATTTTTGTGATATTAATGTCATATTCTCTTTCATTGTAGTTGATCAAATTTGTAACTCTCTCAGTACTTTTGTCACTATTATGGCACTGTCTTTTACATCAGCTTGTCAGAGTTGTATAGAGAAGATATCTACAGTTATGGCTCTTTTATTTGATGAATGGGGGGCCCTTGTTCTGGGATTGTGCTGAGTTAGCTCTCTCTCTTACGTCTGTAACTCACTGCGTCACCCAGGTCATGAACATGTATGGGGATTTGGTCATGGATGCTGCTCCTGAAAAGGTAGGAAAAACATGCGCACACACACATTTACCCATACGAGCACAAGGGCATTTGACTCATGACAAAGCCATTATATGAACCTGTACGTCAGACAGTTAAATGACTATGAAAACAGTGAATTAGTTCTCATTCACTCTCTCTCTCTCTGTCTCACCGTGCCTTGTTTTTTTAACTTACAGGTCCACTTTTTCAACAGCTTCTTTTATGACAAACTTCGGACGAAAGGTTACGATGGGGTCAAACGGTGGACAAAAAATGTTAGTACTGGGGAAGGATTTTGTCTGGATTTTGTCAATACTTGCACATTTTAGGATTGTAAAGTTAAGCTGATTAATTGCTTTTTGCACGACTTTTTAAAAAAACTTTTGTGTTAAAAAGTAAGGTGGATACAACATCATCATTGTAGTATTGCGTTTATTTCACTGTTGTTTATTCCACTGTTAAATCTCCCCATTAGGTTGATATTTTCCAGAAGAAGTTCTTATTGATCCCTATTCATCTGGAAGTGCACTGGTCATTAGTGTGTGTGAATGTTCCTCAGCGTAGCATCACATATTTCGATTCTCAGAGGACCCTCAACCGTCGTTGCCCCAAAGTAGGTGTTGTTTGTTCTAATGAGGCTATTTTAATGGCTACGCTCCTTGAACCATTTCTTAGCCTGTCTTTTTGTTTTACAGCACATTGCCAAATACCTGCAAGCAGAGGCAGTCAAGAGAGAACAGAAGGAGTTTTACACAGGGTGGAAAGGCTTTTTCAAAATGGTAGGGTGAAAGGTGAATTTGATGTGCGCGTTTTGTGCGTTAGCAAAAGTATTTGAGAAATAAGAAATAAAAGAGAGTGGAAAAGCCATTTTGTGTATGTGCTGTTGACTCTTCTGTCCTTGGAATGTTTTAGAATGTGGCCAGGCAGAACAATGACAGTGATTGTGGAGCTTTTGTCCTTCAGGTTAGCATTTTTTTTTCCCTCATTAGTCAGTTTCGTTTTTGTATTTTATATTGTCTGTGTTATTTTAACACTCACATGTTCACTCTTCTTGTCATTGTTCTCCAGTACTGTAAGTGCCTGGCCCTGGAACAGCCTTTCAGCTTCGGTCAGCAGGATATGCCCAAGCTACGGAGACAAATGTACAAAGAACTGTGTCACTGTAAACTGTCTCTGTGAGACCGTGACATCTTCCACTTCTAAATAAGCTCCAAGTCCAGACAGCATTTAGGTGGGAAACGTGCAAACGTTTTTAACCCTCTTTTCGTTCAATCAGTTTGTATTTTGACTTGGTGAATGCCATCCTCTGTTCGGCCCAGTTGTTTGTTTGTTCAGATCAAAATGCCAGAGGAGTTGTTTTCTAGAAGTGTGAGGGGGAGCTGACCTCAGTGAACTGTTCTTTAGGTGCCGCAGTATTGTTGGCAATTATATTTTTTATTTTTCATGATCTTGATGTCAGTATCTTGTACGTTAAAGGTAATACCATCGACTGGTGAGGGAGGAGACTTGCAGACATTTTAAAAATGTAATGCGATATTCATTTACTGAGAGTCAATGCGGACCACGACACTATAAGAGCAGTTCTGTTTGTTCAATATTGTTTGTCTGTTGTTATGTATCTGTGCGATTTAAGATGCAAAACTGAAAAGATGAAAAAAGAGCAGCTGTAAATTAAACTGTTTTATATCTTTTGAGATGCATACGTTGTTGTAAGATGTACTAGTAATAAAAACTAAGAAAATAACAGCCTCGTCAATTTCTGGTTACTGTTCTTGTGTAGTAGTTTGTAATGTGGTGACTTCAAAATGGTTATAAATACAGCAGCTAACTAACTATAAAAATAGGCCTACAGTTTGGTGGACAGGCTAGACTTGCTAAATTTCTGTGCTTGGAGTCAAAAACAAAAACACAAACAGTTGTATGTGTGTTGAGTGTACTCTTACAGTATTGAAGTTACCACAGCGCCAGCCGTACCTTTTTAATGCATATTAAAATAATAACAAAACAAAATGTAATATTAAAACTGCCAAGGTATGATAAAATAAAAAGGATGAAAAAGGCGAGGATTCACTTATCAATAACACACTTCTTACAATATATTTATGCTTAAATTACAGAAATAATTTAAAATAATTACAGAGGAAAGAGCCAAATCATATACAATTATTTAAAGCTCGGTAAGATTGAAAACAAAACAAAAAACTCTAAAAGAAAAATCTGAATCATGGAGATTAAGTGTGCGAATTTCTAGTTCCTATGAAACGACAAACAAAACCAAGTATTTCTGTGTAATAGCAAACTTCACATTCACAGTGCTGAATACGCAATGACCATACCTGGAAATCTATGGACGCTGAACTACGCCACTGTAGGCCAAGCGAATGATATTTTGAGGTTTAGCTTTAGTCCAATTACATGTAAACTAGGGCATGATTGACGTGACGGAGGCGTGTACCATTTGTTGAGTGACGTCTGTACTAACCAATGAGAATATGCGAAGGGCGGGGCATATTCTGACTGATGGTCGAATGCAGCAATCACAATTTTACAGAAACCCGTGTTAAACTATATAAAACATTTTCGCGGTGTGCTCGCCCTTCGTGATAATGTCGGCAGAATATGAAGGGAGGTAGGGCAGACGGAATTTAACGATCTTAACGTATTTATTTATGAATTAGAAATCATATGCATACATGTTGTCAGTCGATATAGTAATCCCGCTTCTAAATGCTGTTGGAAGTAGCTTGTGGTTGCTGATCTTGAATGTCGCAAATGAGTTGTAAAAACCCACTGGCGTTAGCATATGAGCGCTTAGCAGACGGGCCTGCTTGAGGATATTGACGGTGAACGTTCAAGAGGCTCAAAATTATGGTTCAGATCGCGAACGATGTGTTGTTATATGAACTTAATGTGTTCAATCCAATTGATTTAGACTGCTGGACACATAACCCATTAGTGGCCCCGAGTAAAGCCTGTTTTTCTTCCATTCATTATTTTTGCACACAGTTAAAACTGTTCTGCTGATTTTTCTCTATTAAATACATTTTCTGTTTAAAACTGTATATGGAAACCGATTTACAGTTACTAATTTAATGTCATATTGCCTTAATGGTAGATGAAATCTTGTTTTGTTTTCTTATTTGACATACAGTCATAATATATGACATCTTTATAGAATATTAGTGCATAACGTCTATATATAAATAAACACACAAAGAATATTAGTGTATAATGTTCTTATTTATTCCTGAAGTATGTTACACTGCCCTGCTTACCTTACAGTGCTGATTTGCTGTTTTGCTGCTATTGCAGCATATTTTCCATTGATAGATCAATACAATATCTATTTGTCATGAATAACTGTATGGTGCTAATGTGTATGGTGCTAATTCTTTTGCAGACCTAGAGACAATGGCCCCGAGGGCATGGAGCCAGATGGAGTCATTGAAGTGAGTTCATAACAATTTTTCACAATTAACTATTTTACATAAACACTATATATATTTTCCCTGCATGTCTCTCCTGGCACAGCTGTGAGAAGCGGGTTGGCACTGAATGTGCTGTCAGTTGTTTTCACTGTCTTGTCCTCACTGTAGGGGTCAGCGATTCCCCCCCTTTTTTTTTTTTTGAAAAACTGCCAACCTGTTATCCTTTATGCATTATGCATTGAGTGACAAATAGCAAATCCTTTCTTTTCAGAGCGAGATGGAGTAAAGATTAGCTTGTCCGTGGTCTTCTGTATCTTAATCATCATCTAATTACTCTTTTCCCTGTAATTGCAGAGTAACTGGCATGAGATCGTGGACAGCTTTGATGACATGAACCTGCGTGAGACTCTTCTCAGGGGAATCTATGCTTATGGTTTTGAGAAGCCCTCTGCCATCCAGCAAAGGGCTATTCTCCCTTGTATCAAGGGTAAGATACCTTTAAGTATATATATATATATATATACAGTGGGTACGGAAAGTATTCAGACCCCCTTATCTATTATATGTTCACCTTCTATGAATGAGCTTTTGGGCACATAATACAACTCACAAGTATTGCACACTGGACAATTCACATTCAGTTGAAGATGACAGTCCAAAACAGTTCATCTGTTCACCAAACAAGCAAAAGTTCACTTCAAAAATGAACAAAGTTACGTTGATGAGTTTGAAGTTCAGTGTTAGGGGAAAAAAGACAGAAAGAGAAAGTGTGATCTGTATTACAGCTCTCTATATGAAGCATATAGCCATTCAAGCTACAGAAACACAAACGACAATGTTATTATGTGCATTAACAATGATTCGGAAGAAATATAATGTAGCTTAATGGAAAGCTATGGGATTTTGAACTGCCTCTAGAGTCATAGCTGGGTGCCGCGGACAGGCAATGCGCGGCACCACTGGAGTACATACACTTCTAGAAAATAGATTTAAAGACTGGCTCAACAGGGCTATTGTGCTTTTTGTCCGTTGTGAGACCCCCCTTTAGGCTGCCATTGCCCATCTGTGCATGCTTGAAGAAGAACACCCTGTTTCTATCAGAGCTCATTATCTGGCCTTTTGTTTTTCCTCACACTAGGATATGATGTCATTGCACAGGCTCAGTCGGGCACGGGCAAGACTGCCACCTTTGCCATCTCTATCCTGCAGCAGATTGACATAGAGCTAAAAGGTTCTCAGGCCTTGGTTCTGGCACCCACCCGTGAATTGGCTCAGCAGGTTAGTGCTGTCTCTGTGCTCACTGCTTTTGGGTAGGACTGTATGACTATGTTTTGGGTATGGGAGAGATTTCAGTTGTGTTTGTGAGTAAATACATTATTATAAAAATGGAAGTGCTTACTTGGAAATGTAAAGCTAGTATGTAGTATTGTGTAAAGTAATAAAAAAAAAACAGCGATAAGTAGCACTTACATGCAATAGGCTGTGGATAGAGGCACACTTGCCATCAATGCAAGTACAGACCTTCGTGCTTTTTGTCATAGAAATGTTTTAAAGGTTACATTACACTTGATTTTCTTTGTCCATACAGATCCAGAAAGTGATTCTGGCTCTTGGAGACTATATGGGTGCGACGTGCCATGCCTGCATCGGTGGGACCAATGTGCGCAATGAGGTCCAAAAGCTGCAGGCAGAGGCACCGCATATTGTAGTTGGAACCCCAGGTCGCGTCTACGACATGCTTAATCGAAAGTTCCTCTGTGAGTACTCCATATTGTGAGAGATCTAGTGCTGGGGCTGGATTCACAAAAAAGTTCTAAGAATAATTTATTTTATAACTTAACAGTAAAGTTAAGATTATTTTGTATTTCCAAAAATATTTCTTAAACATTTTCTTATCTTTTTTTTTTTTCAAAATTCCTGAAAAGAATGTTCCTAAAAATCCTCTTAAAGTTATTATAACCCCTTGTCTTAAAAGCTAGGATGTTTAATTGAACTGTGTTGTTTGAAATATAGATCAATAATGTAATGCTTAATATTTTTATACCTAGTGTTTTATTATTGTGAACGATGATCTGTCATGATTATGCATGACTTGACTTTTTGCTGAGTTTGGAATTCAGTAACTACTAAGAAAAATGTATTTAAGTATAAAAATTACTCAAATAGGGGCCTCATTTTTAATTTGATAATTACATTACGTCATTTTATAATTTTTTTCCTAAAAAATGTTTTTTAAGAAAATATTTGAGACCTTCATTAGAATTTTTGAAGAATTTCACTTAAATTTATCTTGTGAATCCAGACCCTGTTTATTTATTTATTTATTTTATTGCGTGTTATTTCTGTGTTATGTCATTTACTCTATCTTTTTGTGTTCACCCCTCTTCCAGCTTCTAAGTACATTAAAATGTTTGTGCTGGATGAAGCGGATGAGATGCTGAGTCGTGGTTTCAAGGACCAGATCTACGAGATTTTCCAGAAACTCACTACTAGCATACAGGTTAGGATGTGAAACAGACTTTATTTCCTGTATGGGCTGTTACCAGGCTGAATATTTCCAAGCTTAATTGCATTAGTGTATATTTGGGTTGGGAATTGAAAATCGATTCCGATTCCAGAATCGGATACTTAAGGTCAGGAATCGGATACTTGTTGTCAAATTAAAATTTAGATTCCGCCTATCGATTCCTATGCGTTTTTTTTTTTTCTTCATCTGTGAGGACCGGACCTAGCGATCTGCCAGGACCTTGCTCGCTAATCTAAGCGCTCCAAAGTTTGGCTACATTTGCGATCACAAGCCAAAAACGCTAAGTATAATATCTGTGACTGTGATAGCTAAACATGTTGCAAGAGAGGTGTCACCACCAACATGACAAAGCACTTTAATTTAATAGATCGTTAAAGATCGCAAACACGATTCAAACACCAACGTGATTCTATTCCTAAATTCCAATGATTCGTCCGTTTCATTCCTCAACCGTGTGCGATCAATGTTGTGATCACTTGTTGGTTCGTCTGTGCAGCGTACGATCACACCAGTGTGATTTGAACATTTAAATTTGCATTCGCGCTGCCACTGACCTAAAGAGAGCAGCTGTCTGTCATGAATGAAACAGCTTCACAGTCTTTTCAGCCACACAGTATCATTATTTCTGTGTTACAACTTACAACCATTCAAATGGATACTATGGCAAAGTTATTGCTTTCCTTATTCAAACTGATTTTTTTCTCATGAATATATGGTTGACCTGAAGAATGAAAGCTATAACATACACTTGGAAAATTCCTGCTTTACTGCTCACTGTTTATCGACACTAGGGGTGTGACAATACACTTAGCTCACGAGATGAGACAAAATACAGAAACTTGGTTCACTAGAACGAGACAATATTTTAATACTATTTTAAAGAAATTTTCAATGACAAAATATTTGTCTTTTAATTA